CTCAATCATAGCCGCCGCCATTATCGACCATCACCACCTACTATCTCCACCACCCCGACCACCATTATTCTCACCCACAATTAACACTCATCCATCTCATCTAGCACAACTGACCAGCCCATCACTATCAACAGCCACATCCGGCACTACCCATCATTATAACCTACCACCACCCATCCACCACCTTCCTCGGTCACAACTACTACCACCACCCGCCATTATTAACTATAACCACCCACCATCATCCTCAATCATAATCGACACCACTACCAATCACTACTAGCTACTAGCATGAACCACCATCATCAACCAAAACTACCACCAACCATCGCCTCTAGTCGGCATTCACCCGTTAGTCATCACCACCAACAACTATCATATTTTAAAAAACTATATATTTTATTGATAGAATATTAGATTAGTTTGTATTTCATTTGAATTTTATGTTTATTAACTTTCAAATAAAGATAAATTTTATGCATTCAGATGTTAAAAATTAAGTAGTCTTAATTATTTCTATTCGGATCTTAATACACATCTTAATATATTCAGATGTGTATTCAGATTCATACGTCTTAATCTGAATACACATCTTAATATATTCAGATGTGAATTCAGATTCATACGTCTTAATCTTAATACACATCTTGATATTCAGATGTGTATTCAGATTCAGACGTCTTACTCTTAAAAAAAAAAAAATGAGGCCTAAGATTGAACTTGAAGGGTGGGGACTTTGTGAAGATAAGCTCGACACGACCCACAAACTAAGGCCAAAATCATGTTAGCAATCATTTTTATATATATCATCCCAATAGCTATCGTCTTGCAGCTTTGCCTATAAAAGGAAACTTTCATTGAAGGGTAAATCCATTGTGCCTTAATTCATTTGGTTTCTCATCATCTTAATTCTAATTAGGTTTAAGTCCTTGGACATTATTGTCTTGTTTTCATTTCCTAGTAAGGAATAAAAAGAAAATGGGAACTGCTCAATTACTGCTACTAAGTAATTTTCTTGTTTTTCTTTCTATTGTTGTTTGGGGCGTTTCGGGTGCAGGAAATAATGTGCCACGCAAGAATTTCTACAAGAGCACTCGTTGTCCAAATGCTGAACAACTTGTTAGAGATCTCACTTGGAGCAATGCTAAGAATGACTTCACGTTGGGTGCTAAATTGCTTCGACTCCACTACCATGATTGTTTCGTTAGGGTACGTATACGTAATAGAATTACTACATATCATGCACATGTTAATCTCATAGGATTTAAGTTATATACACTTATTCAATTTAAGATGTTATAGCATACTATTATTTCTTCAAACATTATTCATTTGCATTATTTGCTATGCAATTTTGCAGGGATGTGATGCATCGATATTGCTCGATAAAGTTGGAACAGATCAATCTGAGAAGGAGGCCAGGCCAAACCTCTCGCTGGGTGGTTTCGATGTAATTGATGATATCAAGCGACAAGTTGAGGAAAAATGTCCTGGGATTGTTTCTTGTGCTGACATTTTAGCATTAGCTGCTCGTGATGCTGTTTCTTTTCCTGTAAGTATTCCCATATATAATTGAACCTATATATGTAATTACTTATCTATATATATATATATATATATATATATATATATATATATATATATATATATATATGTATGTATGTAATGAATTCAGTATGCTAACAGTATAAAGAATTTAGTATGTAAGTATTCTTTATGCTAACTGCAGTATAAAGAATTCAGTATTCATATGTATATATATACATAATGAAGCATTTTCTTTAATTATTTCTTCTTCTCTAACTTTTGCAGTTTAAGAAATCGCTATGGGACGTGGAGACCGGAAGAAAAGATGGGAATGTTTCCCTTGGGAGTGAAGTGAACGGAAACTTACCTTCACCATTCTCAGATTTTGCAACCCTTCAGCAACTCTTTACAAAGAAAGGCCTAAATGTCAATGATCTTGTTGCATTATCAGGTAAAATATTAATCATACAAAGCGAACTGTATGAAGAGGCGGAGCTAGGATTTGAATTTATGGGTTTTAAATTCTAGGATAACGGCATCATGTGTTAATAACTGGAACTTAAATTTAATTTTTGTACATATTAAGTGGCTTTCTTAAAGCAGATATAGAATTTTGACTAATGTTATTGGGTTCGGATGAACTTGTATGTAACCTTTTATATTCACCCCTAATTGTATAATAAATTAGTTCATACATTATCAAGTCATCTGAAAGATAATTATAAGTAATCGTCCATATAAAGTGTGGCTATTAACTTGGAAAACAAAGCAGGTTACCTTCTGCAACAAGCTAATATCAAATAAATGATATTAGTATCTATGTACACAATATCAGTATATATAAGTTAAATCCATGAGTAATATACTTCATTCATGCATGCAGGTGCTCACACCATTGGTGTTGCTCATTGTGGGGCTTTCTCTAGAAGACTATTCAATTTCACAGGCAAAGGTGACATGGATCCATCTATGAATGCTACTTATGCTGAATCTTTGAAACAATTGTGCCCTAATCCAGCCAACCCAGCCACTACTGTGGAAATGGACCCTCAGAGCTCAACTTCATTTGACAGCAATTATTTCAACATCCTTACTCAGAACAAAGGGTTGTTCCAATCTGATGCAGCCCTTCTCACCGACAAAAAATCAGCTAAAGTTGTAAAACAACTGCAAAAAACTAAGGATTTTTTCTCTGAGTTTGGTAAATCCATGCAGAAAATGGGAGCCATTGAAGTTCTTACTGGAAATGCTGGAGAAATCAGGAAGAATTGCCGCGTCAGAAACTAATTCTTGAAAACCTATGATTAATTTTATGTCATATATGTAATCTCAAAAGTGTACAACATCTGTTATTTACTTTACTTTGTGTCTGTTTGTTTGCTTTCGTTTTTGAAAGTCATGTGTTATTTATGTCCTACATCTTAAGTAGTAATTAATTGTGTGGAGATATGATGTAAAAGTGAAACTGCATGTAAGTTATGATACTCCGCATGAATATTAAATGGAAGGCTGCTGTTACTATGTGATAATAAAAATTATTATGCTCAAATCTTAATTTGATGGTATTTTTAGTAATATACTGTTCAAATTTTCCAATTAGTTGTTTGGTGACTTCACGAGAGCAGTTGTATGATTGTACTAGATCAGTTACAAAATCTAAACTAATTAGGATGGAAGATCAGGACATATTAATTATCTATGGAATTGTTTAAGAGCTAGACTTTCCGTCATAATTTATGTCCATTAAAAATTATTATGTTCAATTACATATTAAGATTTATT